CTCTAGGGTAGCACAGCACAACCCCGCCTTCAAAAAAAGATTAAAAAATTCCTTGCTGTGTTTTTGTGTCGCCCGGCTTCGCCGGGCAACCCCCCGGGCCCAACCGGCCGGGGCCCACCTGGCCGGGCCGGGCGGCGGCCCAGCCTGGGGATAATTGTATCTTTTTGAAGTGCTGAGAATCAGTCCAATGCATTGAGGGAGGCACAACTACTGGCAAATGCTCGGTCCTTGTGTTGGCCGGGCCCCCACTGGCGGCCCCAACCCCGCACCCTAAATGCTAGGGCAAAGGGGCAAACATGGTGTTACCTCCCTCCACCAAGAGAGGTAACCTCCCTTCACCAAAGAGAGGTAGAAAGCTATGCTTGCAGGGGTCCGCTGTATAGCCTTAGGAGTAGTGGTAGGTAGTGAATTTTGATGTTCCATGACATGGCAAAAAGTCAGTTAAAACATGTGACTCATGATGTGAGGTCATTGAGGTGAGAGAAAAATACATATATATATAGCTGTCCCCTGATGAGGAAAGACAGCTTTTTTTTTTCCTTTTGTTTCCCAATCGAAACATGCTCCAATGTATTTGTGGGGAGCACGTGGGAATCGGGCCCAGTGTCCCATACGAAGACGTGAAAAAACGTTATGAACAAATTGAGATACCGGAGCCATTACCCGGCTTCGGCTTGAGAGTATCCTCCGTAATCGTGAGCAAGCTACTGAACTTTGAGACTGATGATGGGAAAACTATGAATCCCTTTTTTTAACGATCGCTACACACCTCCTGAAATTCACAGAAATTTCTGGAACAGTCAAGTATCTAAGGGTTTTCCAACAGATTGTAACAAAGCTTACCAAAACTGGCTATTCTCTGACAAACTCACCCAGGCCTCATGCCCCCTATCTGCTACGTTACCGAGCAACGCGTCACTCCAGCTCCAGCCAGTGTCTCCCTGTGTCAACAACCCCCAGTTGTCCCTTAGGATGCCCCCCCATAGCATCCCCAGATCTCTCTACAAGGCCTCATGCCCTCACCTTTGGCAAGTTACAGGGCATCACCCGGGCTCTGACCAGCATCGTTCTGGCATCGAACAGCCATGGATCCTGAATACAACAGTCTAATTCCTGTGCAGCTTCGTACAAACTGCCAGCAAACCCTCAGAGTCATGAGAGATTCTTCAAACTACTAGGAAATAACAAGGGTGCTTGTTTTGGAAATTCCAGAAAGAATCAGGAAAAGTCCCAACCAAATATGAGCAAAGGATGTTGGTGAATAGGATGTAGAAATCCCCCCCC